CTTTTGAGAGGTAACCATGACCCTTCAAAAGGTGGTCTCGAGACCGGTTTTCAGACCAAGTCTGATTTCAAGAGCGGCCCTCCCCAGGAAGCCCTGCAGGGTTCAGCCAGGAGAGCTGGCCAATCGGAAGAGAGTGGGCACGTGGGGAGGCGGGCCTTAAAGAGACAGCTGCTGAACGTTTCAGGAAGAAGATTTTAAGTTGCAAATAATGCAAAGCTGCTCTTTAGGTTTCACACACTGACAACATGAAATGGGAACATGAGGACAATATGGAACAAACTGTACATTTGAAGCAGCAAAAAATACACAACCAAATTCAGCTTTCTGCCGTTACTTAAGGAGCACTATTTGAATCCTAAGAGAGCAGATGGACTGTATGTTACAGATGATGAGAAACAGGTGCAGACAGATTGAACATCTTGTACAGTTCAACACTTTCTAATGGACCTGATGAACCGCCAAAGTTCAGATCAGGATACCAGCACCCGATCCAACACTCACAGTTCAGATCAGGTGAATCTACGTGGTGACGCACATGCTTGTTACCATGGTTGCCATTGATTTGCACACACACACACACACACACACACACACACACACACACACACACACACACACACACACACACACACACACACACACACACACACACACACACACATATATATGGCCTATACAGGGTGCTTATTATGAGCATGAACTGTTCACAGTCTGCTGATGGATTTTGTTCATATTCAGTTTCTAAAATTGTTCTTTAACACATTATCTGCAAGGAAAGAAATCTTCCTTTTGGTTCTGTTCACACTTTTCAAACCAGCGGATACAACTTTAAATCCTTAGTCTCCCCTTGAAGCCAAACAATTCAGTCACCAAATGATGTCCTCGTTTAAAGTCGTGTTGGTCCTGACATTGAATAACAAAAAATCAGGAGCCTGGTGAGTGAACAAAAGGCCGGCGGAGGAACCCTCGCTCACTTCTCATATGTCACAGCCATGACACCTCTCCACACAAAGGAAAACCTCCATGCTGGGAATACATTTCACTCTGATTGAATGTGGGGCAGGAGTCTGCTGCTGCTGACAAAGAGCTGAGGTGGGGGTCTGTTCATGGCCTCGGCTCAGCCTGGGGAGTATATTAAAGCTCACAGTCAGTGTGGAAGCTGCCGAGCTCGCTGGTTTTCAAACAGGGGACAAGGAACTCCCAGAGGGTTTTTGTGGAGTCCCAAAAGGTCCTCTGCAAAGTGACTCTCAGTGTGATGTTATTGTGCACTACCTCACAAAAGGATATTGCTAGCATTTTAAAAAGCTGGGCCCTATCTTTACATATTTTGGGGTCTATGTTTGTGAACATTTTTAGAAATGCTCCAGTTGACTGATTCATGCAGCAAAATGAGCTGCTTCACAATCCTCGGGGGCAAATGTGCCCAATCAAAGCAGGTCCATTAAAACAAGTTGTTTCAGTCCCTGACAGGATCAGATTGTTGTTCTGAGTGTCTGACAACGTTACAGAAAGGATCCCTGCAGGCCAACTTGTTTTTGGTCTTTGTTGGTTCCGAGCCAGAAACAAAATGTAGCTGGCTTTTTTTCAAAGCCACCAAACTACATTCACTAAAACTGATACCTAACTTCACAGAACACAGGAGCTGCTGGTCTACGGCTGCCTAAGGCCCCATGTCCACCTGGCGTTTTAGCCACTCCGAGCGCTAAACTTGAAAATCTTTCAACTTTTCAGAACGGCTCTGTTGACGTCACCGCCGCTCTTTTCCAAATGTAAGATATTCCCTGTATTTTAGCCTCCTACAGATCATATCTTGTACCCTCATCTTCCTCGCTCCGTGTCTGATCGGGAAAATAAACAATCTAAAATATAAAACATAAATATAAAATATAAAACAGTAAAAAGTAGAGTTTTTCTTCATGCAAACACTCCCAAACACACTTAGTTAAAACTTTTATTATGTTGGATCCAAACAATTATATCCCCATTTCCTGTTGACAATTAACATTCAAACATTCACTTTGAGATGTTCCAAAAGGTGTTTTCTTTTAGCATTTCACAACCTTCTCCAGTCTTTTGTTGCCACTTTCACAACTATTTAAAACATCAACTCCCAGGAGGAGGGGCCCAGTTTGTTGTGTTTACAAACTGCTACAAACATTCACTGACTCCACCGTTAATGTTTTTGTTTTATTTCTGTAACTTAGGATGAGCATGCCAGTGGACAAATCCTGCACTTGTAATATCCGTGTTTTAAATGTTCTTGTTTGCCAACAAGGACTCGGGTGCTTCTAAACTTTCTACTCTCTCGAGTTAAACTCAGAAAACTCAACTTCCACATTCTGCTTCCAGTGGTGGTGATAGAAGGGGGTGAAGGATCAGAAGTTGGACTCATTATCATTCACTCTGGAGCTAAGAGCGTAAAATGTTAATGTGACTATAGATGTAGTCAGCTACACGGTTTTACATAATGGGAGGCATAGACTCTCCCCCTGGGACCTCCTCCAGCACCGGGCCGAACCAACCGGAGACAGCAGCAGGCATGGAGCTCCAAGCAAATAAGATCATCCAGTGACTGATTGTTCAAACACAACGAGTCTTCAAAAGCAATCTCTTTGTCCCGTCTCTGGCCTTGAAAGAATAAAGATGAGTGGTGGGGGGGTGGACTCTGACACATTTCAATTGGCCACTGATGGCTTCAAGGGCAAGCACCAAAGTCAGACACCAGATTTGTGTGGTGGCTGATATGAAGTTTGCAAATGTGCAAACCTGCATTCTTTCTAATGGCCAGCAGGTGGTGTTTACAGGGAGACTTTACGGGCAGTGCACCACATCATATAAATTCCACTCTCCTCGACTTTTTCTGTCTGATGAACTCTGACAAAATATCATCACCATTGGGAAACTAATGGAAATCCATCGTAGCGATGGAGAACTTTGATTCCTGAATGCACTAATAAAACAGTGTTTCCTCTACTGCTCTTTTGAGGTGACGGGCTACCAACCCAACATTACCTCCCACCATCTTAAAAGAAAGTCTCAAAAATAATTTATATTTGGAATGTATGTGATTTATGTGCACCCATATTTTAGAGCATTTAAAATGCGTTTCACTGTCCTGAGCAACGTCTCTAAAAATCTCACCAGTGTATTTGTGTAATTCTGTGGTATCAAGTATCGATATTGTTTGGTTTTTACAAGTACCAAATTACATTTCTGATATTAGGACGACCCCAGTGGGCCTCAGAAATGTCAAGCAGAGTTCTGCGCCTACACGTTGGTTAATTTCTGTTCACTGGGACAGTTTAACCAGAAGCACTGAGGTCGATGACGTAGCTCTGCTGTTTTTCTGACAGTTCCAGAAGGATTCAGCCTTCAGATTCTTGTTCTCAGAAACCCATAACAGCTCGGTTTGTCGGAGACAATGGCTCGCTGGCAGCACAAGGCTGTTTTGCATTGTCAGAATCTCCAGTGAATGGTGGGTTCAGCTATTTTTTTTTTCTCTCTTTAACTTGGCCCATAAAAAAAAATGCAGTGTTGATAAAATCCTATTTCTGGCATCAGCTGCCTCGAGAGGCTCTCTTGAGGTGGAGAAAACACGCACAAGTGAGCATGACCGACCCCGCTGAGTAGGAGGGGAGCTCAGCAGGAGGGGTGAAGGGGGGAAATCATCTGTATCCTTTTCTGTTTCACACATTTCCATTTCCAAGAACCCCCAGTGTTCTTACACTCAGCTCTACTTTTTTGTCCAGCTCTCGCCCAGCCTGTGGGTCAGGCGGCCGTCCGAGCCGCTGGGAGACGTTTGAATACATAGCAAACAAGCAACAGGTAGGACGCAGTATTGATCGTGTTGGTGCAGAAGTGGCCGTGGAAAACAAGTCAATAGGGCAAACTGTTTGTACCTGGAGCCGTGCACAAAGGCCGACTTCGTAGAAGCAGAGAAGTTGAAATGAAACAAGAGTATGAGAATAAAACGTTTTGATTTGATCAGCGCTTGTTGCTAAAACCCTCTAGACAGAAGATCGCAAACATCACTGATAAACAGGACATTATTGCTCTACCTCTGAAACAGTGGGAAGACATAGCATTAAGTTTACCTCCCTTTTTTTTCTTGCACTTGAAGGACAGACTGCAGCTCACTGAATAAGCATTGTTTAAGCTGGCGGGGGGAAAGTGTATGTTTCTGTGAAAGACATAAGAAAGGTTGGACAATCCTGCAGTTCCTGGAGTGTCCACTAGAGGCGGGCTGCAGAAGCACAGGAAGTCACATACACACCCATTCTAAAAAGCCTGTTTTTACAGCAGAGATGAACATGTTTACAGCCTGGTTCAAAAAACCAAATAGGTGTGATTAGCTCATGTCTCCATGGACACACACTGTACGGGGGGTGAATGTTTTGATGACTCATCAGTTCTGATTTGATGAAGGATAAGAGTTATTCACAATAAGGCCTGTAGCTGACCTGATTGACAGGTGGGCGCGGTGTAACGGTTTGTCAGCCATCATCGGTTTCAAAAGTCAGAAACCGATGGGTGACATGAGCTCCCAAACATTTGTGTGATCAAATATTTCACCAAAACCTTCCAGCCTGGGGCGCTGGTGGCGCAATGGTTAGTGTGCGCGCCCCATGTATCGAGGCAATGGTCCTCCAAGCGGGCGGCCCGGGCTCAAATCCCACCTGTGGCTCCTTTCCCTCATGTCATTCCTCACTCTCTTTCCCTGATTTCCAACTCTATCCACTGTCCTATCTCTCCATTAAAGGCACAAAAAGCCCAAAAATAAAACCTCCCAGCCCTAATTTCAAGGCTAACTTTCTGTTTATATGAAACATTACATTTTCAACCTGCTTTGGAAGTTGTGTCTAAAACTCTAAAACTACAGAAACAGAATAGAATCCTGAGAGAGGGATCAACCGCTGCCCAGAGAGAAGAGCAGCAGACAGAGATGAAGAGGCCGATGTAAATGCAGGAGCACGTGTGGAGAGCCGCTGGGGGGTATTTACCTGGAAGGCCTGCCAGAGCTGATCAGCCACTGAGCTGATTTCAGAGAGGATGTGACGGATGAGAAAGGACTTTGACATGCTGCAACTTCCCAGCGTGATCAGGTACTCCATCAGCTTCTCTGCAGCCTGGAGCTGGAGGGAGGGAAAAAAAACATTATTTCACTGATACAAAGACTGAAGAACCGCCTTTTTACCAAACGTAACATCAACAAGACAAAAATCTGTACATCCTTTGATTCTTATTCTACCAGTCACACACTTCAATAAGTTTGCATTGAAAGTAAGACTGACCCCTCAAGACATGTATTCAACATTACAAGAGTGTTATCAGGATCTTAGTTCGAATCTAGTTTTGCCAACCTCAACCAAACAACTAAAAAGTCAGCCAGGAGTCATGCCAGTTGACATTTTCAAAAACTTTACTCAGGAGTCCGCCATTGTTGTTGTAGTCCAACTACTTGTGCATGACCATTGACTGGACCTGTAATGCACATGTGCAAAAAGTATAACTTTTTAGAGGAACTGCAGATTGCCAGTTATCACAAAAACGATGCAGTTTTTAAAGTTTGCACTCTGGAACTCGTTTTCAAACCTTGCGTCACCCAAAATGCTTTTGTATAAACGAGCAGCCAAATTGCAAGAAGAGGTTTTTCAGCTGAGATCGTTGTTGTTGTGTAAACATGGCCAAAGACTTTATCAAAGGTCTTGTTTTGTCAAACGGAAATCCCAAAACTAAAAAGATGAGGGACTATTTTAAGCGGCGGATTTATCGACATGGACTCGTGCTTTAGTGAGGTTATTCTGGCAGCAGTGAAGTGTATGTTGGACTGAGTCAAAATAAATGACAGTGTGTGTTTGTGGCTAACTGATTTGTTTTCATAGATTTTGAAAAACAATGGAGCTCCATGGAACAGAAAAAGATGAGAAATCAGGCGGTGACACACACAACTAACCGTGTAGATACATTCAGTGTTGGTTTGCCTCTGGGGGTTTGTCGACTGAAGGAAGAATATGAAATATTGGTAGACACAGTTTTTTGGTTGCTACATCCTGAAGTCAAACACAGCCAGCACTCAGTGAGCCGCTCCTGCAGGTTTTAATTTTTCTGATCCGCGAGGGCTTTTGTTTAACATGCACGCTCATATTCAACAACAGGCTGATTCATATTCACTCCGTTTTTCAGACTTTCTGCAGCCAAACATGGCTCCCTCTGTTGTGCTGCCAGCAGGCAGGCTCCACGGCTGCAGCTGAGGAAAAAATGATTTGGCTCAAGGGCGTTTTGACCATTGCTGCCTTTTCAGTCCGGACTGTGAAGTGCAGAAAGGGATGTTTAAAGCTGATCCGATGGGCGTGATTGGTTGTTTTCTTCAGGGATAAAGAGAGAGGGGGGATGAGAGAAAAAACAGATCACAGAATTCAATTTGTTTTGTAATGCCTCTGCTGCTGATTGCCCCAGGGCTGCATGATATGAGGACATTATGGGAAATTGTCTGTCTGATTATCCTATCAACAGATGAATTCATAATTTGAAACAACTGAAGGGAGGAGGTTGTTGTTCAGTTTCCCCAAAACAGATCGTCTCTGGCTGGAGATTGATGAGGCCCTCTCTTCAGCCTAAAGAGACCAGTTTCTTACTTAGTAGGGACGACTGTCGTTAGGATTTTATCAACACCAACACTGCTGATGGACACCGATAATTATCAACACTCTTATCAATACTACTCTTCATCATTTTGTGCAAAAAATAAAGGCATGAAATATTGGGTCCGATGTGTCCTTGGCCAAGACACTTAACCCCAAGTTGCTCCCTCTGCTCATATGGACAGAGAAAAAAGAAAAAAAAATGTCTAATTTAATCCTGTAGCCTGGCGTGAATCTGTCAGTAACAACCCTCGGGTTTATCACTGGAGTTAATGAGCAGCATCTCCCTGTTAATCGTGACAAACAGAGCGACAGCTGTCTGAACGATCCTCTGCAGGTTTCATTTTGTTGGAACTAGTTTGAAAAATGAAAAAGAAAAACGGTTTGATTTTCAGTGGATCGTTCTCGTGCTGTGCTCATGCTGGTTTCATGTTGGGTCTTTACTTACAAAGAGTACGGCCTGGACCTGCTGTGTTTTTGAAGCGTCTTGAGATAACATCTGTTATGAATCGGCGCTGTACAAATAAAGATTGCTTGATTGATATTGTTATAGCTGAAGGATGCACAAATTAAGATTCTCACCACTGACCCCAAAAGTCTCCGTCTGTGATGTCCGAACAGTTAAACAGAAACTGAAGTCTTCATGGTAGGAGGCTGTTTAAAAAGTCTTCATTTTAGTGACCTCAAAATGTCTTTGAAGAGGCCAAACAGAGAATAAAATGTTTGAGTGGACTCTGAATTTAAAAAAAGAATTTCTACAAATGTCTAAAAAGCACTCAAGCTTTGGTTTCAGCTCCTCGGTGTATTCCTGACTCTCTCTCTCTGACCTCTCAGGTCAACAGATCCAGGTATTCTAGCTTCAGAGCCAAAGATCGGGAGAGGGAGCTTTTATCGGATGTGTCTGTGAGGAGGTGGGCGTTTTTTTTTAGTCTCTCTTCTCTTTCTTTTTTTGAGTTATTGCTGCTTTTTCTTGGACTTAGAAAATATGTTACTTCCAGTAAATTAGCTCTGACTGTGAGCGGACTAATGACCTTCAATATATCTTTATGTTTAAACCATTTGTAACACCTGGATAAACCCTTTGACAAACAGACCTCCAGCGGGGGCGGGGCATGATCTTGTTTAGACTACTTTCTTTTTGCAGCTGTATTCTAAGGCGTCATCTTCAACCTCATTTTGATGACCTAATGCTACGGTGCTAGTCGAGGTGAATTTCAGCCTGGCTGCACATCGCTAGTCGTGCAGTTTACACTGAGGCACAGAGGCCCCACAGCCAAAGCGATATATCTTCAAAAAGAAGGTGATGAAAGGCGTACTTCAGCGTTCAGTTAAAGGTTTTTAAACACATGATTTGAGATAGATGTCATGTACAGTAATAAAAGGTCACAAGCCAAGAGGCTACACGGTATGGTGAGGCAGGTGTGAGACACTAAACTCGTCCCCTCTCTGAAAGGTTATTACATGAACTATGTCTGCAGCTGAACACAGAGAGAGAGAGAGTGACATTTGAACGAGGCCACTTGGGATTTAGGATCTGCAATTTCATCGTCTGGGCTCTTCACCCCCGGACAATCTCCTTCCTCCTCGACCGTGACGACTCCTCCAGGTGTGTCTGAGGATCTGACTCAGAAAGGAGAAGCTCTCCTCGTGGAGGTGAGCGGCTCTAAAGGCAGAGGCCTGCCGTTGGCTTTTCTCCTCGAGATGGGACACACTCAGCCTGTGAGCACTCTGCTGACACTTGTAGAGGACTCGTTCAGACGCTTTCTTTGTTTGACGAGCTCGCTGAGGTTTTAAGAGAAGAGATGAAAAACAATGGAGACTCACTGAAGTATCAAAGGAAGATTGACTTTACATCTTCCATTCGCCGTTTCCAATAATGCTGCACTATTAATCTACACTTGAGGGAGATTCCCAAATGTTCCCCAGCTGTAGCTGCTAAATTGTGATTTTTTTCAGATTTTTGTTAGATCGACATATTTATCGTGATGCCTCTGCTGCAGAAGTCAGATATCAATAGGAATGATGTAATACAGAACGTTCAATTTCAATATGATTCTAGTTAAAATCAAATCATTTTAATTCAATACCACAGCAACGAAAACAGAAGTCCTAGGCATCTGCTATTGGGTAATTTCTTTGTTTTTAAATGCCAAAACGTGCAGGTAAACTCCTGAACACTCAGTGACGTATTTTTGCAACTTAGGATGTGTTCCCTCTCTTTCTCTCAGGGCAGCTTCTGGTTAGTAATATGTTATATAAAGTTCTTTAAAGGTCCCATATTATACAAAATCCACTTCTCCATGTTCCTCTAACTCTAACATGTGTCTCTAGTCTGTCTTCAAACCTCCCGATGATGAGAAAAGTCCATCCTCTCAGTCTTCTGCCTGCTCCACTTTTCAGAAAATGTGTGCTCAAACAGGCCGTTTGGAGATTTTCCCTTCATGACATCACAAAGGGCAGTAGCCCCTCCCCCAGGTGGGTGACACTCCCACAGCTAGGTGTTTGTTCTGCCCTCTGAGTCTGCCTTCTCACCGTAAACAATAGGACATGGAGCGAGAAAGCACCGAGTACACCCAAGCCCTTCCAGAGAGGGGGCGTGGTCAGACACAGCTCATTTACATATTTAAAGGTACAGACACAGAAACAGCCTGTTCTGAGCAGGGCTGAAATAGAGAGGTTTATAGACATGATCAAATACAGGATCAGAGTGGATTTAGAACAAGAAACTTCACACACATGTTTTGAGGAGCTCTGAGACTTTTTACTTTTGATTTACTCCTTTGATGAGGAGAAGGATATCTTTTTCAAAACAAAATATCCTAAAATAACAGAGACTGTAACGTTTTAAACAAGTGGAATTGAATGTCAAAGTTGCTTCAACACACAAAGATGATATTAAATCCAGAGTGACAGAAGTGCATCAGAGCAGCTTCAGCAAGAACAGAAGAAAAACTGGTTATGTCTGCACAAGAAATCCACTTGATCACTTCCAAAAAGAGAGGGCAATCATTCTCCTGCAGTCTGACCAAAGCACGAGCACCTGGATGAGTAGCTCTGTGTCCTCCATGTAGAGGACGTGTCAGAGAATGAATCTACAGCCAAAGGTTAAAAACATACATCACTGCAGACAGGCTTGTATGTTCAGAAAGATGTATTACACTCTGCCCTGCATGACAGTGAAGCAGAACTACAGGAGCCTGTAGAAGACATATCTCAAACTCTGAGAGAGTGCAACACACCCTCGCACCTCCCTTATCCTGCCTCCAGAAACTAATTTCCCGCTCTGTGATTCATGGAAACCGACTTTCATAGACCGACTGCCTTTCTTCCACCTTTTACAGGGGAAAAAATGGCGTGTCACATAAAAGAGAGCTACAGTGTACTTGTGTGGACACGCAGCTATGTGATGGGGCTCGCTGGTCACTGCTGTAACACAACAATTCACCGTCAATGTAGCAGAGAGTTACTTTCAAAACAAGATGGAAAACAAA